AATTTTGCGAAAGCAAATATTCGCAACATCCCTAATACACCTGTTATCATAAGGGGGCGGGGCTACGCTCAATTTCCAAAAATTTATAAACTCGTAAAGTCTTAAACTGTGTAAAACTCGCAAGTTTCTGAGGCTGTTACGGGAACGCCCCACTTTGGAAATGTGTAAATATGTGCGTGAAGTGACTTTTGACAGGTTGAAAAGGGTTTTGTGAATACATTTTTGCTTCGTAGTATTTTTCATAACAGCCCCCCAGCTCGAATAAAAGCTTAAATATAGTTTAAAACGCGAGAATTAGCAGGAAACCCATGTAAATACAGTTAGGGCCGGTTTTCCAATTGTCAGGTGAAATCTCAGATAGCTATTTAATGAATAACATCATTCGACTGTTTATTTTACTGAATAAAAGCCTCGAGTTTTTCAATCACCTTCTAACAGGCGGATAGCTATTCCAGTGCATTTATAGAAAAGTGACAACATGATTAGTTCTCAAAAAATTAGAGGGAAAGCAAGTTAGCGACAGAACGTTATGATAGAAAAGGACAACTAGTACGTTGCTCAATGGATTGCTTGGCATAGATTATAAGCTCTGTATCTTTACGTACTAGGTCGGTGTTATGCAGACAAACTTTTGTTTGCCAAATTAAATGGCGGCNGACAACTAGTACGTTGCTCAATGGATTGCTTGTCATAAAATATAAGCTCTGTATCTTTACGTACTAGGTCGGTGTTATGCAGACAAACTTTTGTTTGCCAAATTAAATGGCGGCTGCTTAGTTTGCTCGGAGGTGGTTATGTCGAGTTTGGCACAGGGATGCACGTGCATTATGGTTTTCATGGCTATTGCCAACACGAAATGAGAATTTCAGATGTACATAACGCGCACAATTTAAAGTTTTTGTATATGACAACACCGAATTTGCTGCAGTTTGACCAAACAAAATTAGTTTGCTGTGAGAGTCGCCAAACTCGCTCTCTCCGAGTTTGCTGCAACAACAATTGCACGCAGTTTGCCAAACAAAATTTCTGCATAACACCAACCCTAGTTCCTGATAGTTCGTAACGATTGTTACAAATGATCATCTTTTGGCGTTTTTGTACGCAAAAACTTGCATGGAATTTGCAAATTAGGATAAGTTGAGGGAGGAAAAATTTGAGAGGAAGTTGCAATATTTTACTGGATAAATTCTTACTTGTAAAAATTGTCCATTAAGAAGAACGGCTATTTACATACTGCTTCATGCGTTTTACAAAGGCAAAGGAATTCTTTTTGGGAATTGTAAAGTTAAAATTTACAAAATTAAAATTGCATAAAACAAGTAACTGATTGCAAGGTTTGCGTTTTCGTACTTTTTAGAATAGTTCTCTCGTTGAGAGTGACTCGTGTACCTTCCGCGAATTTTCTTTCAAAAAGAGAACAGCTGGTTAATTTGTTTGTTTTCAAAAGTTTTCTAATAACAGTATTTCNAACACACAGCTGGTTAATTTGTTTGTTTTCAAAAGTTTTCTAATAACAGTATTTCATATCCTGTTATAATTTAAAGATTTTTATTTAGTAAATTTCGACGATGAAACCCCCATAAAATCTTCCTATTGAGTTAGCACCAAAACCAGTGTTGCCACACACGGACTGTTCCTACCAAAACTGGTAAGCTCTTTTCCATTTGGTAGGTTGGTAGGCTTGATTGGATTTTGGTAGGTTTCGGGACATTGAGTAATAGTTATTTGCGGAAAATAGATATAGAAACTTTTGAGCAACCTTTTTTACAAGAATATTTCACCAGTGCGTTCTAATAACGGCGGCCGCAAACATGTAAATATACCTCATTCCTAAGTAAAAACGTAAGCCCTTATTATTGCCAATATACAATACGAACATCCACCTGGGTGTCCACAATACCGTAACGCAGTAGAGGATTCAGGGACATGAAGGGTTTGAAGGCAACGAAAGGGCTGACTGTCTTGTAAAGCGTGGAGCCCAAATCCTCAAATGCGTTTGCATGGTCCCGAGCCTTTCTGCGGTACATCTAAAGATACACTGCAAACCTACTTAGTAGCTAGCAGGGAGTAATCTCAAATTGCTGCCCGCTAACGAAAGTCAAAGGGAATAAGAAAATCAAAAGATTCATAACTCTTTCCAGGAGGAACTCCGAAAGACACCTTGAACTTAGAACCTTACAGGACACTGCAAGTTAACGTACTGTTTTAATTAAAGGATTTTTCTGTAGAGACGGACTGTAAGTTTTGTGGGCAGGTGAATGAAGATGAGTATATTCTATGTGCCTGTCCACGAAGCATGAATCGTACATTGATACAATTTGGAGAACGATTGTCTTCTCCATCTAAAGGTTGGAGTGATTACAATTAGGATTTAGCACAATATATCTTCTTAAGTCGCAGCGCGACACGAATAAAGATGCTCGGGTGTTTTGACGGCGAAAAAGAACGCGTGAAAAAATTGCGAAAAAGATGCGTAAACATGGATTCAACATCATTCGCATCTTTATTCGTATCTGGTGACGATATCATATATATGTATGTGTAAAGAGACATACATTTGGATAAGTCTGTACAGTAAATGAATACGCAGCTAATTTGTTTTTATTGTACTAGCTGTATTTTAGTTTTACTAAATGTTATGTTAGCTATGTTTTTAATAAGTTTGACATTGAAAAGAAAAAATTAAAACTTAAAAAGGTGTTTGGTAGGTTTTGGTTGGTTATGGTAGAAAATTTTGGTAGGAAAAAAATGTGTCTGTGGCAACGCTGACCAAAACGTAATAATTGTTGCAAATTATTTGCTACATGTCTGTTCATGTAAAAATAATCGAGTAACTGAATAGTAACTAAATTTGTAAAAATCGCTCTCGATGAAAGAGCTATCCTAAAAAGTACGAAAATAAAATGCTTACAAGTGGTTACTAGTTTTATGATATTTTAATAAAAAGTTGTATTTAAACAATTTTAACAATTGTTACCATGTGTCAATTGCTATCCGGCCTTTGTCTGGGGAACGAATCGCCGTATAAATTTATTCCTCATACCTTGTTTATACCTACACAAGAATCGCATTAACAAAAAACTGATCTGGCTCAACATATATTTTTTTCAAGCATTTGTACCTTGGTTTTATAGCGCACTCGATGAAGCCGTATTCAAAAGCAAACAACAACTGCTGTTTTTATACATTTCTTTAATAATTAATTTGCGCGGTAGACCTAAATAAGAGAGAACAATAATTCGAATTTATTATAATAACACAGGTCCACAAAAAAAAAAAANTTATATATAATATATTATATTATAATAACACAGGTCCACAAAAAAAAAAATCGGTTAAAGGTTCCTTTGACCAAACGTAGTCTGTTATATGTTTTTGGGGTCGCTGAACACGAATCTGAAGTCCGTTTTGCTCCATCACGTCTGGACTTTTTTTTAACCTCAAAAAACCTCTCGGGTTTCACGTGGCAGAGAAAATCCGAGGTGTTTTTTGAGATTAGGAAAATATCTAGACGTGATGGAGCAAAACGGACTTCAGATTCGTGTTCAACGACCCCAAAAACATATAGTAGACTAAGTTTGGTCAAAGGAACCTTTCCACAAAAAAAAATCGATGAAAGGTTCCTTTGACCAAACCTAGTCTATGCAATGTTTTTGGGGTCGCTGAACACGAATCTGAAGTTTGTTTTACTCCATCACGTCTAGATTTCTTCCTAACCTCAAAAAACACCTCGGATTTTCTCTGTCACGTAAAATCCGAGATGTTTCAGATTCGTGTTCAGCGACCCCAAAAACATTGCATAGACTAGGTTTGGTCAAAGGAACCTTTCATCGATTTCTTTTTGTGGACCTGTGTAATAATTCAAATTTAAAAGGTGATGTATGAAGAAAACCAGCCTATTTTCACTTCGCGTCAAATTAATCATGCATTCATACCTGTTTTCTAACCGATGTGAGAAATAAAAAACCGATTTGAAAATAAATTCGAGTCGATACACTTTTTAATTTCTGAGCGTATTGAAATCTGGTTTATGCATCCGATTTGGATCACAGCGAACTGGGTTAAAGCGATCGATATAACAAGGTATCAGTTAGATTAAATATTCTCCGTATAAGCTTTAACTGACTATTGAACAATGCCATTTCCTATTATTATTTTTTTTTTGTTTTCAGTATTTTATGTATAAAATATTCTACCCCTCGGCAACACTGAAGTGTATGAGGTCGTTTGTGCATCAAATTTGCCTCGTAAATTTACGAGGGCTCGTAAATAAAGCTCCATACAAATTTTGACAGTTGTTTTACGAGGCTCGCAAATTTACGACCTTTACGAGGTTTACTAGGTTTTTACGAGTTTAAGGGAAGACCCCTAATATTGTTATTTTACGTATAAAAATATCAATTTTCAGTTAATAAGCTTCAGTAGTTACTAAAATATCGCAGTTTTCGTATTTCTGCAAATTACCGTTATATGAGAGGTAGGCGTGGTCATTGTCCCGTTTTGCCCATTTTCAATACCGTCCTTTGCTCGAAAGAAATACACGTACCACGTTTCGTTAAAATATCTAAATTTTTACTCGAGTTATTGTGTGCACGCACGGACGGACGGACAGACAGACAGTCGGGCCGTAATCGATTTCTCTAATTTTTTTCATTCTGGGCATTTATGTGTACAGCTATCTACATCTTACTCGATTGCTTTAGGTTGTTACAAATAACCGGTTTAGCGCGTTATGTGAACAAAGTTGTAATACCCTTGTGAACAAGTGCGCTCGGGTATAAAAATGTGTGTTTTTTGTACCTATGTTTATCTCAAAATAGTTTTCCCAGTAACAAGGTTAGGTTTCTAAAACTAAAATTGTTTAACAAAAACCAATCTCCAACAGTGAATATTTGACTCTTACACAATTATATGAATATTTAATCTAAAATGCTAACAGGTATTTTCTAAGAGCCTAGCTTAAGAACAACAAATAATATGCTACGCAATTTATATTTCAGGTACAGATGGATTATGTTTGGTGTCATCGTAGTTCTGACTTTTTGCACGAGATATTACAAGGTTACAGAACCTGATCATGTTTGGTAAGAACAAATACACTAATATCTAATTGTATATACGCCTAATGATGTTTATTAATCGTTCGTTAAAGCTGGGATGAAACACACTTCGGAAAAATGGGTAGCTGGTACATCAATAGAACCTTTTTCTTCGATGTTCATCCGCCGTTGGGAAAGGTATGTACACACACACAGAATATACTACTTTCGTACTTGTCTTTGCACTAAAATTAACGAAATGTATATAATAGATTGGCACTTGCACATATGTTGGTGTTTGGCCGAGCTGCTCCTTCGATTTGTGGCGTGCGCCTTGATGCTGTCACACAAAGGGAAGAGACATATCGCACACCGTCTTCAAAAGAGTCACAACTCAAAATTTTGCATTTTTGAAAGTATGCACTAATAATGTACACAAAGCTTTTATTTGCCTTTCAGCAAAGGCTGGAGCAAATTTCTATTATAATTTGTTAATAAAAAAACCTAATTAAATTCGCCCTTGCCCACATGATTAGCATGTGCTACGAAATAGTTTTCGCATTTTCTGACGAACGTATTATTTTGAGTTGTGACTCTTTTGAAGACCTTGTGCGATATTGTGCATATTTTTATGAGAAGCTGTTTTTCATGGCCGAAATACACTCGGAGGTTTGCCATTGCCTGCAGAAAATACCTTTTTTGTTTTTTATGTTTTGATGTTGGGTTGAACCGGACTTCAACCCAGGCCCTGCGGAACCAACGAAATAAGCTCTATAATAAATATATCTCAGTGAAATAATTATATGTGCATTTTAATTGTTACCTTCATCTATCTTACTTGCATCGGTACTTTCTTTTTTTGAAGTATATTACACAAGGCGTTGTTTGTTTTTTAATTTTTCATAAACCTCTGTGCATAGCCCTGTTATATAAACATTTTTTGTGTTTAATACCTTTCTTTGGAAAAAAGTAAACGTGCAAAGCATTGTTCTCGTTATGTAAAATGTCAACACGTGAAGTGAAACAATTATTTTGATAAAAAATTACAGGCTTAGTAAAAATTAATATTTTTTGCAATCACAACTTGCAGAAAATTTGAACATTTTATAAAAATGCCACGTGGTACCAGTTTAACAGAAAAAGAACAAGGATTTATAATTGGCCAAAGGGAAAGTGGCGTGCAATTGGTTGATATAGCTGCGAAAATCGGACGCCATAGAAATATCATTGCGAATTTCTTGAAAAACCCCAAAAATTATGGGACTACCAAACGCAGTGGCAGAAAATCAGAGATTGGCGAACGATGTAAAAGAACGATTCGGCGGATAGCTGTTGAAAAAGGTATGAGTTGCCGTGAAATCAAGGTTCACCTTAACCTCAATGTAACTAGGAGGAGGATCCATCAACTATTAGGTCAAAACGAGAACGTTAAACATACAAGCCGAGTATCACAACCCATGCTATTAAAGCGCCATATGGCCAACCGTTTGGCATTTGCTGAAAGACACAAGTTCTGAGATACAGAGTTTCAAAAGATCGTCTTCAGCGATGAGAAAAAGTTTAATTTAGACGGCCCTGATGGTTGCCAAAAGTATTGGCGCGATTTGAGACACCCACGCCAGCATCGACTTAAGCGGAACCATGGTGGTGGCTCGTTGATGGTTTGGGGTGCTTTTGGGTATGCTGGTAAATCTCCTCTATGTTTCATACCATGCAAAACCAATTCCCAGATGTACATTGAATTGCTTGACAACGTATTAATTGAATTTGCTGGTGACCTTTATGGAGATGATTGGATATTTCAACAGGATAACGCTCCAATCCCCACTGCACGTATTACAAAAGAGTTTTTTTCATCAAGAAACATACCACTGCTAGAGTGGCCAGCAATCAGCCCCGACCTAAATCCCATCGAGGATTTATGGGGAATACTTTCGGCCAAGATCTACAAGAATGGTCAACAGTTTCAAACCATCAAGCAGCTCAAAGAAGCGTTGGTAAAGGAATGGGACGAAATAAGCCTCCACACTTTGCGAAAATTGGTCGACTCCATGCCGAGAAGACTAACTCAGGTGCTTTAAATGGAGGCAAAAAACTTTTGTTTAGACCCATGAAATTGAAATAACGATTGTTGCATATACAATTATTTCATAAGAACGTATGAAACAAAAATTGAAATAAAATTAATCTCAAATAAGTATAAATTGTTATGTTGTCGTATATGTTAATCTTCATGTGATATATTATAAAAAAATATTTAAAAATATCCAACATCATTTTTCCGAGAATTATATAGAAATTCTTCAGTGCACATATAATTATTTCACTGAGGTATATTTACCGTTATAGAACAAAAGTTTTTATTTCAGTGTCAGTATTCTGAATCTGATTTTAGCTAATAATAATAGATTGGCGCATACACATATGTTAGTGGTCGGCTGAGCTTCTGCTCCAATTTGTGGCATGCGCCTTGATGTTCTCACACAAAAAGGAGGGACCTACAATTTTACGCGCCTCCGAACGGCGATTGTACATATTTTTATGAGAACCTCTTTTTATAGCAGAAATACACTCGGAGGTTTGCCATTGCCTGCCGAGGGGTGACTGCTGTTAAGAAAAAAACCTTTTTTCTATATTTTTTCGCGATGTTGCTTTTACCAGTAGTACTATTCTGTAACTTTCTTACCGACCGACGATCGATATCGCAATATACGACAATCATCGCTCGCGTTTGCGACGAGCTTATTCTGTAACAGTGCTTAAGGGATAATTTTCGTTTACATTTTCTACCGACATTTGTCGAAAAATAATTGGAGAGAATATGGCAATGTTTGATAAGTTCAAAATGTCACTAAAATAAAATAAGTTAAAATTTGAATTGTTTCAACCTTAAAAAAATACAATACTCTAGCAAAACAAAAAATACAATTAAAATGGCCAAGCAAGTCCAGAGGGCAACAAGTGAACAATTAAACATAATGTTGGACTTCTTCCAATTTACCAAAAGCTTGGCGGAAGGACAGTTTGCAGCTATCAATAGGAAAATTGAAGCATCCAAACAGTGGGCTCAACTGGAGAATATTTTGAACTCCGTTTTGGGAGCGGCGCTAAAAACAGTGGCGCAATAGCAACTGGTAAGTTAAAAGATACATTTGTTATAAAGATATTTACATTACAGCGATCTTTTACATGATCAAAATTTTAGGTGTGGAGGGATCTAAAGAGCCGCGCCTCTATAAAATCGAGGGAGCGACGTAACGAGCTTTGTCAGACGGGAAATCGGGAAGTGATGCAAGCCCCGCTTTCTGAATCAGAAAAGCGAGTAATTGCCATCACGGGTGCCGACTATAGCGAGGGGAGTAAAGATGCTATGACAGTATCCAAGAAGAGAGGCATCATTAATTTTTATGAAGTTTTGAGTGTGCTCGAGCTATGTATGTAATAATTACCGCAATATTGCAGCCTTGTTACTTTCTTGATCAAGCCCTTGGGGATTTTCGGGATGCGGGAGGAAAAGTGGCAGCGGCTGGATGGTAGCTTTCGGTAGGGCTCCGTTAAATTGCTGGCGGTGGACTGCTGATTGCCGGCGATGAAGTGGCGGCGGGCGGTGGAGTGGCTGCTGGCGATGTGGTTAGCTTGCTGGCGGTGAGGCGGTTGCCGTGGGATCTGCTGGACGGAGGGTGGCTCCAGGTGTACGGCGATCGAGATTTGGTTACTGGAGGACCTCGGAATTCGCGAGGCGGCCCTTATGCAAAATGCAGAATTTGCGAATAAAAACACTACTGGAATTTCGTTAACGTTTAGTCGCGCAGGACCGAGGGTTTATTTATAAAACGGTACAAAATTCAATTTTCTTTAGAACGCTTGTAAATGTATATATTGCGATATATATATATATATAAAGATAAAATTACAATTTACGAGGCGCAGGCAACCGCACAATTCGACGTGAGAGAGAATAATAATAATAATTGTCTAAGCTCAAAGCGTCAAAAAGCAACAAGGTTGCACACCTGGCAGCTTTTTGTGATGTACGCGCAAGCGCGTTACCAACGCCTTACAACATAGGTAGTGGTATTCACGCATAACCAGTTTATACATTTTAAATTCAAAAAGGGTGAAATTCATTAAACTACAATTCAATTCAATAAAATTCATATGGACAATTAGAAAACGTGATTCAAATGCTGATGTGACTCGTTGGGCTATNTTCACGCATAACCTGTTTATACATTTTAAATTCAAAAAGGGTGAAATTCATTAAACTACAATTCAATTCAATAAAATTCATATGGACAATTAGAAAACGTGATTCAAATGCTGATGTGACTCGTTGGGCTATACTCGCTTAGCCATTCTGCCCCGCCTGGACGCGCTAAGCGGCTAGTACATCCTTCAATTCCTTGAGGGTGCGCATAGCTTCGTGCACCAGTAACTCAGTGGCCTTGCCTGGATAGGCGTTGCGATGACTGCGTTGCACGGGGCGATGTTTGCGTTGGGCGACGTGTTGTACGGAGCGTGTGGTCTGCGATGCAGAGCGGCGAGACTGAGGGCCATTAGTGGCAGCGCGGTGATTACGCTGGAATTTCAAACATGTGTTCCTTATACGAGTGGCCCCTTTTGGCGGTCGCGCCGAGTGCATGGGTCGGCGACTAGATGCGTTGGCCTCGCGGCGATGCAGAAGCGTATGGTGGAACTATCCACACGTTCGGCAGTTCCCATTGGAGGAGCATTCCACTGTCCGGTGTGAGAGCGCGAGGCAGTTCGTGCAATATTTGTGCGCGCGCGCGATGGTAAACCTCTGATGGGGCTGCAGGGCCCGGAAATCGCTGCATACTCGGAGAGCATGGTGGCGCGTACATAGACGGCACTGCTGGAAGTTTGTTAGGGGCGTGTCGTCCAGGGGTAGTTGTTCCGCGGCGGTCTCTGTGGCGCGCACAGATTCACTTACGGGCGGGAGCGCCCTTGCCGTCAAAGATGTGCGTGGTGCGGGCTGAGGGATATCAATCTCCATCTGCAATTAGCGTTTTTTCGAGTAGGTTAATAGTCGGGTGTTAGACACTTATTAATAGGATAGAGGGATAAGCATATAAGTGTACTGCCTGTCAAGTAACTGTGATAGACAAATGTAGGTAAGCAGTGCGGGTATAGTGCAGTCGGTGAAAAGTTATTTAGTTATCTGCTGTGGGAGATAGAGGGGCATTTGCGTATGGCAAAGGGCATAGCTTTACAATCGACCGAGTGAGGAT